TGGTTAGGATAGATATATAGTTACATTCTCTTAATGAATAGAATGATTTGTTCTAATGGTGTTTGTAAATAGGATCTCAAGTCTGCATCTTGTACAGCAATTAACCACTAAGAAGAATATATGCAGTATGTTAGTTATTGAAACTGTACTACCAATTTGATTTGAAACTGTCTCATTGCTATCTGTTTATCAATAAAATTTTGAAAAAAATTTGGGGGCCTGCCCTTTAGCTCAGTTCTTTAAGTAGCTGCTTCAACAAAGCAGTCAGGCTCAGGTTGCTGTGGTTTAATCCCCACAACTCAAGCCAGCCAAACCTGCCCTGAAGCATTCGGAGCCTGCCCCCCCCCAAAAAAAAAATCCTTCTGATATGGAATTTGAGATCTAATTTAACTTAACACTTTGATATGTCAAAATAAGCAAGGGTGGGGGCTGGCCAGAGAGCTCAGTGAATTGAAGTTTCAGCTTAGGGGTACCCCCAGGGCATGCTGAGACAGCAATTAAGACTGGGAGTAGTAGTGTACAACCGTAATCCCAGCACTAGGGAGCCTGAAAAACAGGAGGATCAGTACAAGTCTAATCTGTGTAGTGAGACCCTGTAGACCTTGTACTAAATACATTTAAAAAATAATGTTAATAAGCTAGGGTGGGATAGAATGATTAGATGAATCAGATTTTTCTTACTGATGATGATATTTATTGGACCTGGGAAATCCATACATAGCAGTTCACTACATACTCCACCTTTGATTTGAAACTCTCCATAATTTTTTAAACATTAAGGAAGGGAGAATACAGAAGATAAAATGCAAACAGCAGGCAAGTATTTTATAAAATAATTTTAGAGATGATGTTGACTTTGTTTTCACATCCTTAAAAGGCTAAATAGCTTTTTAAATCTGTAATCTTCAAATAAAGCTTTCATAAATTAAAAAAAAAATAGCAGCTGTCTAGCAGTGCGTCAAGGAAGTTGCAGCTACAATTGCTTCCTGTTTTCTGCCTGGTTCCCCCTCACACCACCTTCGCTGTAGCCCCAGATGCGTTCCACCACTTGCTGAGCCATTGCCGCACTGGGTGATGTAGGTCGGGGCAGTTCCCACTTGTCCTTCACTCATTGTTACAGCTTTAACTTACGTTTGTTCTGGTCTCCAGTCTTCTTTTCCACCTTTGCATGTGTTCTGTCACTTTAAAATATGCATTGTCATCTGACTAGGTCTTCATCACAGCCCACTGGTGACTTCCTGTAAGATTCACATCAGG